GGAGCACGGGATGCACCGGGACGGCTCCCACCGGCGCTGGCGGCACCAGGCCCTGAATCACCATGTTTTAATTTCATATTTAAAGAGCCTAATAACCAGTGTTTGCCCTGGAGGAGAATCCTCCGCTTCGAAGCCTCTCTCAGCATGAATCACAGCTCCCAGCCCTGCTCTCCACGCAGCCCGGCTTTATTTTATCTCCTCCATCCGTAGGGCAGCGCGCAGGGAAGCCGAGCGGCCCCGAGCTCCGGCCAGGGCGCGTGGGCCGGGCTCTTATCGGGATATCTGTCAGGCAAGCCCGGCCCCCTCCGCACTTGTTAACGTTTTGAACTGTCCCTTGTCCTTGCTGCAGGCTGAGGGCTGTATTTACTGTAAACACAGCGGGATGGACACACAGACGAGCCCAGCCCAGCTCTCCGGATGGTGCCTTTCCACGGAAACGCTTTGGCCGGGATGGAGCGTGCCGGTTCCTGGAGCTTCTGCAGGAGCAGCCGGCTGCACCCTCGCCCCGGTGCCAACCGCCCCGATTGCGCCTGCGCCCCGGGGTGTTCAAAGGCCTTCGGAAAATCAGACCCGGGCTGTTTACACCAGCAGGAACAGCTTAACGCGCTCACCTCTGTTTTACGGGCAGAGGGATCAAGGTGCACGGGCTCGTGCGCCAGGGCCAGGCCGAGCGGGAGGAGCGGGGAGCCTGGCGCCCGACCCAAGGCCCCAGCTCCCCGCGGGGGTTTTTGTCCCTATCTCTCTCTTAAGGACTGCGCTTCCCCCTTGCTAGCGTCAGCCCCACCGCATGAGAAGCAATAACAGTTATTTATGACTGTTGGTAGGACTCCAAAGCAGATAACGCTGAGTTGCGCCTCGTTTTTAAACGGCCCGGCCGAGACCGAACAGCAATAACTGGCAGTGTCTTAGATACCAGGATTAACTCATTTTGAACCATCCCAGTGAGTAATTAGTACTGCAATTACTTTAAACTCAGGGTTGCATTCGGCAGTGATGGCACGATAAAGCGGACGAGATTAGTTTAACTTTAAGAAACCCGGTACAGTCAGGCTTCTCTGGAAATGAAAAGGGGACATTGTTTTCCGATCCGCCGCGCCACATACCAGGATATCAATCACTCCCTTATCATGCGAAACGGCCCCCGGTCCCTCGTGCCGCTGCCAGAACCCGATGCAGCCCGTGCAGCGAGGCGCCTGCCTGCAGGATCCCGATCCCCGCTCCCTGCGGAGCCGTCCCGCGCGTCCCGCGGGGCTGTGCCCCGTGGCGGGACGCAAACCAGCTTACGCAGCGCGCGAACGTCCTGGAAGCAGGCCCCGCAGCCACAGCCGGC